CTACTTCTACGCTCTCCGGGTTGAGCTGATCAGGAAGAAGGCCTTCGTGATACCATTCTGTCAGGATATCTTTGATCCTGGCTTTGTCCGCTCCTCCACTATTAAGTGGAAGGTGGGAGGTTGAGGGGACTTCCATTTCGTCAAAAAAGCACAATCGGAAACAACAATCAACAAATATAACCACCAAAACAACAGAGAAGGAAAATTAAATCTAACAGTCCATACTACTTAGTATAATAGCCTCATAGTACGGGATAACTCACAACAATCCCTCACCCACCCCAAGCTAAGAGGACCGAGTTTACCCAAGGGACCGCCTATGCGCTAGATGTCACCAATACGAAGTTGCTCCCGTCGTTTCTCCTTCGGTGCCGAGCTGCTGCGTTGGAGGCTCCCATGGACGCCTCATGACCTTTTCCCCAGCCCTGGATCTCAGCAATTACCCTGCCAACCTTCCCTAAGATGGTGCGCAAGCAGTACGGGTGAGGTGGTTTAGGCATAATTGACAGCTGCAGAAGCTATGGGTGTCTGCGGGCTATGGACGAGCGACTAGATGGTGGGGGGCAGCGAGGCAGTAGCTTGGCATTATCCTAACCCTAATCGATTTGGCGTAAAGCCCCGCCCGATTAGCGCCGCCCAATTAGCGCTAGGATTAGCGCTGCGCCCGCCCCTCCTCCTCCCGCCGCCGTACTTTCTCAGTTCCGACCAAAACCCCATTTTTGGCGAAAGGTCCAGTACTTACGTACCTCTGTATACAATCAGATCCATTACCAAAATCCTACCGTGCTCAATGATGGACCGCGCTCCACTACTCTCCAAATGTGCAAAATGAGAATGAATCTTGCACGAGAACTTCGAAAGATACACTGCCATATTTTTTGTCTTTTGTGCATGTCGAGAGTAGAGTGCAGTGAGGCCCGATGATACGCGTCTGGGTAGTGGTCAGATCCGTTCCTACTACTTCTACTGGGGCGGGTCAGCTCAATGATGATACCTCAAGGCCGTCGTCCATTCCAAAAAAAAAGAAAAAGAAAAAATGGACACGTCCACATGTCGACATGTAGGGAGATCCAGCCGCATCTAATCTACACGTCTGTTAGACACGTGGCACACATCCAAACGAACACGATGGACTCGTCTGAATGCACCTGGTCCAGAAAGCGTCCAAATGCATGCAGAGGGTTGCGTGACACGTGGCACACATGTACACGTCTACGAGACAGGTGGCACACATCTAAACGCGCACGGTGGACTCGTCGGGGGACCTGGTCCAGAAAGCGTCCAAAAATGCATGTAGAGTGTTGAGTAGTGGAGCGAGGCCCGTGTACGTGGCACACATGTACACCTCGCAAGGCGCAGAAGCCTACAACGTCTACCCGTAGTGTATGTGTCGATAGAAGGGTAGAATTAGTACCCCGTTACCGCCCGTTAGCGCCCCCTTAGCACGCGTCACAACCATTACCCACACACAGTCAACCCCCCGCTAGACCCCGTTAAACCCCGTTACATGCCGTTTGCCCACCCCTCGCCGTTACCCACCGTTAAGCCCCTTTAGACCCCGTTACCGTTACACTCCGTTACCCCCCCGTTACATGCCATTTACACTCCGTTAACCCCCCGTTACATGCCATTTGCACTCCGTTAACCCCCCATTGCATGCCGTTTACACTCCGTTCACCCCCCGTTACATGCCGTTTACACTCCGTTAAACCCCCGTTACATGCCGTTAACACTCCGTTAAACCCCCGTTACATGCCGTTAACACTCCGTTAACCCCTCGTTACATGCCGTTAACACCCCGTTAACCCCCCGCTACCCACTGTTAACCCCTTAGACGCCGTTACCCACCGTTCAGCCCCCTTTAGACCCCGTCACCGTTGTACCCCGTTAACACCTTACGCGCCGCTACACACCGTTAACCCCCCCTTTGACCCCGTTACCCACCGTTAACCCCACCTCACACCCCGCCACTGTTAGCCCCTTAGACGCCGTTACCCACCGTTCAGCCCCCTTTAGACCCCGTCACCGTTGCACCCCGTTAACACCTTACGCGCCGCTACACACCGTTAACCCCCCCTTTGAACCCGTTACCCACCGTTAACCCCACCTTACACCCCCTAACCCACCGTTAACTCCGCTTGTTCGCTTCAACACCAAAAAGTATCTACTGTTATGCATTATTCAAGAGGTAGATTGACAGGTCTACCTGTTCATTGACAGTTCTACCTGCCCGAAGCTACATTTAGATGTCTTTACCTGACCGAATCTAGAGGTATACATCGGTATCGTACACCAAACCGCTTTCTCTATACTCTATACCCGTATTAACGGTGAAAAATACACTAGCCTCCACCCCTACTGTGACCCACATACACATGTCTACATTGGCTGAACTTTAATTGATATCTAGACTAAATGCATACAGAGGTCTCTACCTGACCGGATCTCGACGTATACACGGGTGACTCCATACACATTAACGGTGAAAATACAGACATACCCATATGTTACCTTCATCCCCTATTTGCACCCACGCAGACATATGTCTACATGAGCTGAACCTTGGCTGATTTCTAGACTAGATACCGCTGCAGCGCCTGAGAAGTTCACACGCGCCGTATCCCTTTATGAACAAGGAAAAAACTTTCTCAGTAACAAACAAGGAAAAAAAAATTCTCAGAGCATACTCACACTAATACTTTCCTAGATTGCAACCGCAATTACGGCAAGACCTGAATGAATCTGACCGCAATAACGTCCAGAGCTTAGTATAGAAAGTCCTAGTGTGAGTATAGTGTTTTTAGACTAACCAGAAAAAAAACGAGTATTTTTGCGTCGTGCCAACATCGACTCACGTGTTCTTTTTTTAGCGGACAGTACCTCTTCCTCCTCTGTTTTATTTTTTCCTTTCTTCTTCTTTTTTTTTAATCCTTTTTCTTCTTCCTTCTCAGACTGAAAAGTAGCAATCAGTTAAATTTCTCAAAATACAAAGTAATCATCATCATCATCATCATCATCATCATAATTAATAATATATACAATAAGGGGTAGTCTACTCTAGATATCAGCCGCGCCTGAGAGCTTTTCTTCGGCAAATGAGACAGCAATTTTTCCGTTTAGTTTTCTTCTCTTTCCTTCTTTCAGCAAATGAAACATATGCAGCGCGCTCATCTGTTGATCTCTCAATCCACATACAATTATTTATACGTGGATTTTTCTTCTTTGTTTTTAATGAAAAGTGCGACAGCTTTGAGGGACGCATACATATACCACACACGTATACCCTTCGTGTACGCAAGAAAAACCTTTTTTGCATTGAAAAAAATAGTATTTTTCATTGAAATATTTCTTTTATATTTTTTGTCCCGGCATCATACCAACATGGCAGGCAGAGGTTTAATAGCAACTCCTCCTCCTCCTCCTCGTTCTCTTTTTTTTGGCTCCCCAAAAATTCTCGTTTTCTTTTTCTTTTTTTTCAAAACTTCTCGTTTTCTTTCTTTTTCTCTTCTTCTTCATCCGTGCCACTAGTAATGCACTTTGCGATGAAGATTGGAATGTGTTTAAAAAATAAAATAAAATAAAAAAGACCGCGGCTTCGCAAAACCTCCTCCTCCTCCTCCTCCTCCTCCTTCCTCCTTCCTCCTCATCCTCCCATCTGCGTACACAGCACAGCAATCTCCCTCACGTGGGAATACCATTCCTGTTTTTTTTTTAGCCACGTTGCAGGAAGGCAGATCAAAGGTTCATAAACCACCTACCCAACCCACCTTCCCTCGTGGCAAGACAGATTCAGCAATCTTTTTCTCTTTCAGCCAAGTGGCAGGCAGGCTGAATCTGTCTTGCATATGCATACAAAGCAATCCATCTTTAATTTTTTTTTGGATCCGTCAATTTATTTAGCCAACTACAATTACGTGCGGATAGCATTCCGCCACGTGGCAGGCACACAGATCGAGGGTTCCACCTTCATATAAACCACCTACCCTACCCACCTCCCATCAAATCGAGAGGTGAATCTGCCATAGCCTCTACTCGCATGACCGTCCACAGAGCGCAGAGTTTCCTCTCAGATGATCTGCGTGCTCCTATTAGCACCCCTAGCACCAGCTTGGGCTGTATTTAAATTTAAATGTGAACTTAATACACATATAATAAAAATCATTATCAATTAGAGTGACCACGACGCTGCAAGTACCTCCAAGCTTCGGAAACAATATCAAAGGGTAAGAAACGGTTATAAACGGCAAAACAAACTATAGCAAATGGACAATAAACGGTAACAAACGGTAACAATCGGAAACAAAAGGTAACGAACGATCGCAAACGGTAAGAAACAGTAACAAATGGACAATCAAAAAAAGACAGATTAGCTATCGAGATAAGCCTGATAAGGTGGGGGGGGGTTTTTTTTCGAGATAAGGTTCGAAATTAAGGGTGGCTAAAGCCATGCACAAAGGGGGGGGGGGGGTTGAAAAAAACGAATGTGTATGCGCGAAGACTGGGAGACGGTGGGGGCGAAGGAAAAAGGCAATTGAAAATGAAAAGAAGGAAAGTGTGTGTTGGGGGGGGGAGGAGGTGAACAGAAAGAAAATAGATAAAAAATACAAGTGCATTTACAAGAAAAAAAGAAAAAGAAAAAAAAGAAATGGACATAGGGGATCTCCACATATCATGAGTTGCCGGTGCAACTGGTGCCATGCCGCTATTGCGTAGTCAGGGATTACAAAAAACAAAATACAAAAAATTAGATAATAAAAAAAAAAAGTGGGCATAGGGGATCTCCACGTACCATCAGTTGCCGGTGTAACTGGTGCCATTGCCGCTTTTTTTTTGCGAGGTCAGGGATTGAAAAAAAAAACACTCGCAAAAAAAAACACAAAAAAAGAGGGAAAAAAAGATTAAAAAAAATAGATTAAAAAAAAAAAGGGAGGGAACAAAAAGATAAAGACATAGATTTAACCAAAAAGAAAAAAAGGTGGGCATAGGGGATCTCCACGTACCATGAGTTGCCGGTGCAACTGGTGCCATTGCCGCTTTTGCGTCGTGAGTAATTCCGGATTAAACGCGAAACTCTTCCCGCCATCCGTCTGATTCTCCATGAACTTTCTCCGAACTTTCCCGAACATTCGCCAGCATTTCCGACTTAATCCTGATGATGATGACGGTTTCGTGGTCGGGACCGTAGGTAGAGGAACTATGGGTATAAAAGGAGGAAGAGAGCGAGGGGAGGAAGGAGAGGGACAGGCGGAAGCACCTCCCCCTGCGCCTCCCCCTCCTCCCCTTTCCCCACATCGAGAGGCAGGCGAGCCGGCGCGCCCCCCGCTGCTGCTGCCCGGACTCCAAACTTCACCCATGCTGGTGGGAGAAACAGAACCACCTCCACCTCCCCCTCCTCTCCTCTCCGACATCGCCTTCTTCTTAGCTAATTCATTTTCCTCCCCCGGCGTTCTCTTGCGCAACTGCAACTGCTCTGCAAATGGTCGGATACTCTCCCACATCTTCTCTCTCTCTCTCTCTCTCTCTCTCTCTCTCTCTCTCTCTCTCTCTCTCTCTCTCTCTCTCTCTCTCACACACACACACACACACACACACACACACACACAAATCACTTCATCTATCAGTCAGCTTTGATCTACAGATGGGTGCCTAATTTGATGGAGCGAGATCCAACGACATTCGACGATTCAGTACTAACCACCCAAAAAAAGACATCATCTTTCTTCCATGTCCAACACTAATTCCTTGTCTAGATCTATGTGATCGAACGGAGTTTGACACCGTTAAGGCGACCGTCAACACACCGTAAGGCCAGCGCTGAGGCACCGTTAAGCCACCGTTAAGGCGCCGTTGAGCCAACGTTGAGCCACCGTTAAGCCAGTGCTAAGGCGCCGTTGCGCCAACGTTAGCCGACCCGCCCAGCGAAGATGAGGAACGAGTCGGTGACAGACTATCGTGGAAGGACCCGCGGGCCATTCAGATGCTCTTCCCTCCCCAATCAGAAATCATCGGAGGTAAACTTCATGGCCAAGCCACCGTTAGCCACCGTTGAGCCAACGTTAAGCCACCGCTAAGCCACCGCTATGCCACGGTTAAGCCACCATAAAGCCACCGTTAAGCCACCTCTTAGGGCATCAGCGTTGAGCTACCGTTAAGCCACCCTTACGCCACGGTTAAGCCGCGGTTAAGCCACAGTTAAGCCACGGTTAAGCACCGTCAAGTCACCGCTAGGGCACCACCGCTAAGGCTTCACCATTACGACATGGTTCAGCCCAGAGGAGAAGGGCTTGTCATTACCTTCGCCACCATCTTGTGCTCCAAGGGCCGGCGTGCATCCTGAACGCCTCCCTTCCCTCTTTCCCATCACCCCATCGCTAACGTGTTTTGCGTTCTCTCTTGCGACAACTCCAGATCAGCGTCACACCGCCCCGTTCATCGTGTCAATCAACATGTCTCCCCTCCTAGCTCCGCCCGAAGGAGAACTCTGTTGCTCTCTGAAAGACCACCCACTCCCTCCCAGCCACCCCCCTCCTCTCTCTCTCTCTCTCTCTCTCTCTCTCTCTCTCTCTCTCTCTCTCTCTCTCTCTCTCTCACACACAC